AGGTGCTCACCAGCCACCAGAACTAGAGAGTTAGTTGTCCTAGGTAATATTTTACCTATTACGAATCCAGCTAATACATTACCTTTCTCAGCTAATCTTCTTTTTTCGTGTTCAGTGAAACCTGCTGCAGCACTGTAGCACTTTGATTTACGGTCAAGCTGACTTAGTTTAGTTTGCTGGTGCTGCCTGTTCCACAGAAAGCTCTTTTGACAGTGTGTCTCCGCGTCTCTTTCGTACGTAGAGGCGTGCTTTTGTGTATTGGAACCTGATGGACCAGTTCGCCGCGCCGGGCGGCGCCGGCCGGGCATGGCCTGCTGCTGTAAGGGACGGGACACTGGCCGCGTGCCCCCGCACGCCCGCAGGTCACTCACTCCCCGACGGTGAGGTCGCGGCAGAGGGCACAGCCGGACAAGGCGAGGCCCAAGTTGTTTACACACGCCCAGACGTCCGACCCAATATCAACACTGTGACTTTGGCACACAGAGACATTAACAAAACAAATGTAATTCTTTCAAATGTTGCTGTTAAAATTACTGTTTACTCTGGAAACTTGAATGCAGTATTTCATGCATACCTACATGTATGCAGGAGGTCCGAGGAGGAGAAGACCGTACTACGATGATTGTAACATTGCGCATTCGCATTGCCGAGTTTAAAACGAATAAGTTACTAAATAAACTTTGATTGTACAGTTCAAGCGCTAGAATTGGATTAAAAAAACAAACAAAACAAACAGCCTTAGTGTCCTGTTTTTATCGAGGCGAGCGCTTAATTGCATCCTGGGGGGTTCTCTCGTTGACTGCCTACTGCTGCGCGACATTCGCGCCCCTCTTCTCCGCGGGGCATCAGCCCCGGCGGGCTTTATAAACAATGAAAGGGAGAGGAGGAGACGCCAATGGTCCAATCACGCTCCTGGAAACAAAAGACCGCCGCCCCGACGCCGCGCGCGCGAAGGCTGAGATTCGATATCGGTAATGACGGCACTTGTGTGCAAAACCGAGGGGCACGCAGTACGCAGCACCGGCGGCGCCATGGAGGAGGGGGGGAGGGCTGCAGAGGCGTCGCGGCGGCACCGTGAAAAAGGTGCAATCTCTCTTGGTTGGTTTCGCGACGGGTGGTGGCGCGTCTTCTTGAGTGTATTCGGCGAAACTCCGAAACTCATGGTGAATACGCCTTTCACAGAATCACAAACAACTCCGTACAAAATGCGCGAAACGGCGGTGGTGATGGTGTGGTGGCATTGCCAGAGCGATGCTTTGCTTGTCCTCCCCCCGGGTTGTGTGGGCAGCCGGGCCGACCCGCCCGATAACGCGATCCGCATATGCATTTCTAATGAACCGCGAGGTCGCCCGAAAACCCCAGACGAGAAAAGCACTTTGCGTGCGCGCCCG